AATTATAAAGGTTATTTCTATAATTAACACTAAGACTCATGGAACACAATTTCCTTGACTGCTTATCACATTATACTACCTTTGTCCTTTCTCCAAAAAGGAAAAGGAAGGAAAATATATGTAAAATATGTGTGGTTAGGCCATCGAATGCTAGTGGCTTCAGAGAATGTTGCACTAGAGAAGCTCTGATGAATTTCAATATCTTCCTCATCTCATCTAGTTCTGCTTTCAAGAGCTCCTATGATGGTTTACTTGGACCTAAGTATAGCACATACACCCATGCATATACCCAATACCTGACATTCATTTCTTTGGGATGTGTTGACCTTTCTAAAGAGTTTCATTTTTCAATGGAGACACATGTATCTATGTGTATGTGTGGTTGTGTGCATGGGCATATACACAGAGATCAACAAATCTTTTCTGTAAAGGTACAGATAGTTAATATTTTTGGTTTTGGCTTTGTGGGCCATATGATCTTTGTCTCAACTACTCAACTCTGCTGTTGGAGCATAAAAGCAGTATACACAATACATAAACAAATGGGCATGCCTGCATTTCAATCAAATTTTTTTTATGGGCACTGAAATTTGAATTTTTTTTTTTTTTTTAGTCGGGGTCTCACTCTGTTGCCCAGGCTGGAGTGCAATGGCAAGATCATGGTTCATCGTAGTCTCAAACTTCTAGGCATAAGCAATCCTCCCACTTCAGCTTCCCATGTAGCTGAATAGCTGGGACTACAGGTGTATGCCACCATGCCCGGCTATTTTTGTTCTTTTCTTTTCTTTTCTTTTTGGTAGAGATAAAGTCTCACCCTTTGTCTAGGCTGGACTTGAACTCCTGGGCTCAAGCAGTCCTCCTACTTTGGCCTCCCAAAGTGTTGGGATTACAAGTGTGAGCCACTGCGCCCGGCCAGAAATTTGAATTTTGTATAATGTTGATGTGTCATAAAATATCATTCTTCTTTTGACTTTTTCAACAATTTAAAAATGTAAGTGCTACTCTTACCTCATGGGCCATAGAAAAGCATTTGGTGGGCCCAAATTGGTACACAGGTCATAGTTTGGTGACGCCTAGTGCAGCACATTCATTCACTAACACAGAAATTGTTCTTCAATTGATCTCAGTCTGGGTCATAAGGACAGCTCAACTCTCTTCATGTGAGCATTGTGGTGAATTTAAAAAATAGTGGTAGAAGGGGAGGGAACAATGCAAGTAGAGAGATGCACTTCTATCCATGGGTGAGCACAGAATTTTTCAGCCTTGACTATATATTGGAATGACCGGGGGAGTTTCCAAACATGCTGATACCTACACCCCATGCCCAGAGAGGCCCATGTGATTGGTCTAAGATATGGTCTGAACATGGAAATTTTTAACAGCTCCCCCAGATGATTCTAAAATGCATCCAAGGGTGAGAACCACTCATTTGAATAAGATTGCTGTCAAGTATTTTGGGTCACCAAAGACTGGAAGATCAAGCTGCATTCAACTTTTTTCCCTTTTCTTCCTCATTTTCAGTATCTTTCCCAGTTCACAGACTCATCTCACTTTCTAACTACAGCCTCCCTTGCCCATCATTCCTACATGTTTATTTCAGATCTGAAATAAGTAAAAGAAGTTAGGAAAGCTTGTAAACCTCAGAAAGAATATTAGGCATTGTCTCTGTGTTGTGCTACATATTAGGTTCGTTGTCACACTGAGTTTTAGGATCCCTCAGCCTGATGCTGCCTTAGGGGAGCACTTATTTAACCATGCAGGCACAGGCTAAACATTGTCAGCCACTTTGGGAAGGTTGGATCCTGGGAAATTATTTCCTGGCTACAATTCCAAAGAGTCCATTATATAAGCCAGAAAGACAACTTATTAAATTGTAGCCTCTGTCCCTTATCCTTGGATCCTCTATCTAGCAATAGATATATCTGGGAAGTTTATCAAGATTTGGGGGCAGCATAGAATTATATATAACAAAAGAAATGTCATTTGAAGTATATTTCATAAGCTAAAGTAAATGAAACTCTTTCCTAACCTAGAAAATATGTCTTTCAGTAACCTAGAATATCCAAGCTCCCAAACAATGTCCTATCCCCCAACTTGGGTCCTACTAAAATAATATAAATGTATCTCTTTCTTGTCAGTTTTCACTTAACCATATTTTAGTTTGAGAGTTCTTTGGTTCTGATTTCTAACACTTCTTATTTAAATCTCAGTAACATGATATCTGAATCAAAAATAGCTTTTTCATAGTTGAACTTTAAACTTCTTAACTTTAACTGAGACTTGAGAAAGCTTTTATCTTCTTTCAATTTAAGTAGCAAAGATTCATATATTTTGTGTCATATTTTACATAACATCTAAAAGAGTGTCCAAATATTTATGATAATATGCCTCATTAGACTAAGCCTTTTCTTAGTCTAATCAACTGAAAGGGAAATATTTTTGAGAATCTCACAGTAAATGTCAGGGACAAATGTGAAAGTATATGTCATTTTTGAGATAATGCTGCTGGCAACAATAATTTACAGTAGCTGAGTTACAATCGCAAGAATGTTTTTCCTATTACAAGATAGCCTCTTGAATGCCACCATCACAATTAATCAACTTCTGCCAGAGTTTTTTTATAAATAGGACTTTTGGTTTGATGAAGGCTAATCCATGATGGGGCATTTCTCACAACCACTTGGCTCTGGGAGAACCTTCAGCATACACACAAGCAGGAACACCTACATGAGTCTCTTTGGTTCATAACTTGTTGGCTCATTTCTGCAAGATTCACTCCAGCCTTTCTTTTTGTAAAAGGAACTTCACCTAAAACAGTAGGGAGAGATCTTTCTGTGGTAATATCGTACCAAGAGTAGAGAACCTATGGCCACAGTACATCACTGGGTGGTCTCTAAATCCCTCCAAAGTAGGACCTCTGAGCTAGGCAGAAATACTTGGAAAGGTACAAATATGGCTGTTGCCAAACATAGAAATGCAGTGTAGGAGGGCTCAAGAAAATCATCAAGGAACTTAGAATTCCAAATTATGTCAATCTACATAATCCCAAAATCGTATTCTCTTGTCAGAATCAACACAGTCATAGACTCCTCCTAGGCTGAGTCTGTAGCACTGTAATTTGGTTAGAGAGTCGTCTCTAGAAAGAGAAAGCTAAAGTCTCTCTGCAGAAGTTTTGTAGTATCAAAGAAATGCCACCCCCCAAAAATGTTCATAATTTTCTTAATCAAATCCCAAGAAACTAACTCCCAGGTCTTTGTTCCTTTGATTATCTTCTTCTTGATAGCTCACTCTATCAATGTAGAACCTGCTTGGCTCCAGTGATTTGTTCTTGGTGAAGTAATGAGTTAGCAGTATGAGAAACAAGAATGGTCACAGGCTTTGGGTGTGTGAACAATACTGTTTTTATCCTGACTAACTGTGTGACAACATGGTAGTGTGGTGGTGGTGTGTGGGTGTCTTCATCCACGTGGTGTGTTGTATGTCCACATGTGTGTGGAATAATTATTTAACAATTCCAAGACTCAATTTTTCATCTTTAAAATACAAATGCTCATACCCTTTTGACAGGAATGTTGGGGACAGAAAGTGGCTAACACCTAGAAGATACTCAGTAAATGCAGCTGCCATTTGTGATTATTGAAAGTAGTGATTACTGGTAGTGTCAATCAGGGCATATTTGGTTTTGTTGACTTCTCTGGTGCATAGCCTTGAAATAACTTATGACTTGTGGTTGACAACTCCATTGATTATTACCTACTTTTTCTTCTTCCAGACTTATCTTCTGGTGATGATACATGCATATTCAGACATTCCTTTTTAAAGTAAATATCTTCCCTTTATTCTGTTTAGTCTCTCCTCTTATTGGCTCAACTGTAAGTCCTCTTCACTATTAACCACTGCTTGTGTGTTTACCAATAAGATGTTTAGTATTATAGGTGCATTTGTAACTTATTAAGATAAAAATGAGAGAATGAAACTCATAAGGGCTTATATTTTTCCACTTAGCATATCTTGTGCTCACTAAAGGTAAGGCATAAAATTAGAACAAACACTTCTCTCAAACTCTAATTTTTCAAAACTTTTGTTCACTTATGAAGCTCATTTAACAAGAAAAATGTGATCACCTCAAGGATAAAAATAGTTTTTTTTGCTGATCATTATTAAATGGAATCTAATCATTTTAGCAAATATGAAAGTAATTCAGGCCCATTTACCAAATGTCATTATTTCATACTGCATTTATTAAATATGCACCACGGATCAGACACTAAAACAACATGAAGAAATGAAATATAATTTCCAATCTTTGATTAAACATGTACTGAGTGGCTTCTTTACACTAAGGCACTATGAGGGTGCTGGAGATATATGGTAAGTATGGCATGAACTCTGTTTCCAAATAACTCACAATTGAAAGATGCACCCAAACCCACATATGTGAATCAATTAGGGAACCAAACAAGACATGCATAGTCAACTACTAATGACAATAGTTCATCAAAGACCGTAAGTCAATAGGAACTAAGTGGAGCAGAGGTTGACAAAGCCTCTGCTTGAAAGGAAAGGCCTTGTGGGGAAGATTGGACATCATCTGTCCCTGAAGACTGAGAAAGATTTGCACAGAGAGTGACCAGGAGGGCACCTCAGGTGGAGAGAAGGTGAGCAAAGACCTTAGGTGGGAGAAGTAAACATGGTAATAGTAAGGAACCTGGACTGGCTGGGAGAATGCTAGGAAGAAATGGGAAACAAAGTCAGAAAAATGGATTGAAGTTCAATTACAGTAAACCTGGACTTAGGTAAATGGGGTCAAACCTAATGAACTCCTGAAGGTCTTTGAGGATAAAAATAACATGATAGTCACTGATTTGTCCCAGTGTGGCTCTTGTGAACTTGGTGTGGTTCACATGTCCTTGTCATTTTCCTCATCAGCTTTTTCCTACCAATGTCTGTTGTTGTTGCTCTGCTTTCACGTCAAAGTCAGAATATGCTTTTTCATTTAGGGGAAGCACCGGTTCATCAGATCTCAACGATCAGGAGGCTGGTTCTGGGACCCCAAAGAGTGGACGGAGCAATGGTGTGACCCCTGTCACTCAGAGGTCACCAGCCCCAAGCACACGAAGCGTGACCTCAGTCAGCAGTAGAGTAAGTGCCCAAATGTGAAGTGATACTCAGTCTCTGGGACTCAACCTCACCACCATAGCATGACTGGGTTTGAACTCTCCATATCTTAGAGCATGTTGTTTATGCTGTTCGATGGTAGAAGCTTCTTTATTATGACTGAACCCTCTTCATTTTAAGCTCCTGGCAGGAAAACCAAAGTGAAAGGAAAGAGAAAGGGCAGGCTCAAAGGTAGCATTTGTATTATAAGGGTTTAAATGTTTTAAACAAATATAAAGAATTTTTAGAAGACTCTGATTTTGATCTTCTATGTTACTCGTCAGAAAAGATATTTATCAGTTGGCTGCTCTAAAATTTTCCCAAACTAATTTAAATCTGGAAATGTAGAACCCTGAAATCTTTATATAGTTTTCTTTAACATACATCTGTTAATAAGGAGTCAATACATAATAAAGACTTAAATGGAGATATATATATATATATATATGTTATATTTTGCAACTTTTAAGAGATAATATGGAGAATGTGTTTGGGGAGAATATTCTTTTTATTAAATATTCTGTTGAAAGTTGTTCATGGAATGAATTAGCATTCACTAGATTTCTTTTGATTAAGCAGGAAACTCCATCTAAGTTGCTAGCATCTATATGTAAGAATTTTTCGTATGTGAACCACAATTATCTGATTTAACAGATATTTAATGAGAGCCCACCATAGGACAGTGCCTAGTCAAGCAAAGACTTGGGGGAAGTGAAATAATTAGTCAAATAGATGTCTGGGGTAAGGTGCCTCCAGGCAGGGACAGCACTTGATATTTGGCAGGTACAAATGGAGAAGACTGCTCCATTGATTTATGGCTGGCCTCCATTTTTAATGATCAGTACCCTTGCTCAACTAGTTTCTAAAATATTTTTAATGCCTCTAGAGAAACAGCCAGTGCAAAAACCCTGAGGTGGGGGCATGCTTAGTATGTTCAAGGAAGAGCAAGGAGGCTAATGTAGCTGTTGTGAAGAAAGAAGAAAAGAGTGCTAGGAAATGAGTTGGGAGAGGTCATAGGACTGGATAGAGCCTTGGAGACTATCGTATGCACTTTCCCATTCACTCTGATTAAGATGGAGGACATTGGAGGGTTTTGAGTAGAAGAGTAATACAATTTGGCTTCTGTTTAAAGAGGATCTTGAGCTATGCTAAGAAGTGTAAGGGAACACAAGTGGAAGCCAAAAGACCAGTTAGGTGACCACTGCCATACCCTGGGCAAGAGACTGGGTTTTGGAACAAGGAGATAGCAGTGAAGATGGTGAGCAGTCAGATTCTGTAGATATTTTTAAGGAAGAACCAAAAAGCAGTCCAAAAGATTGAATAATAAGAATTGATTTATTTAAACATTTATAGACTAAATGTAGTTGCTGATAACAGGCATATTTAAAATTTTTATAAATATTTATGCTAAGCTCAGCAAACAAATGCTGTTCAATAGCCAGAAGTGTGTGTGGATAGTTGCTGATTTCACTCACTTTTTTGGCAACCCCAAAAGAAATTATATTCAAAATATTTACCAACTCAGTATGGCAAGTGCATTAAGCTATCAGAACAGACATTGACACAAGGCAGAGATGGTATTCTGGGGTTTTTCCATACCATGCACTAACGTAGATCATGTAGAAACCTGGGGTTGTAAATGAGGGGGAGCACCAGGAAGAGGGGTGAGCTGTATTTGTAACTGACACAGAAGTATTTTAAAAATTTTAGCAGCTGGGGCAGCTGTTTCAGTGGGTAGCTGCTATCAGTCCAGTAATCAATAAGTTAATCAAGTGAGTTCTCAAAACAAAGATTGTCTTCCCAAGTACCATTTGAGATTATTAGGGTGAAAAATCACCCCTGACATGTACTAATATCCTGAAAACTATCAGCTTCTACTTGCATATTTTTTTATTAAACTACACCTAGATTTCCCCAATAGGAATTTCCTGCATTTGGGTTGAATATATGTACATATACATAGGCAGTGCCTATGTTGATCTCACTCTTGAATTCCAGCTGATCTAAGCTGGTCTTTTCTTAGCAATAAAAAGAAACAAGGAGGAATATTTTCTGTTGAATAAAATTAAGAAAGCACAGTAGTTTATGAAGTCCATTTGCTGTTTCATGATGAAGGGAAGAAGTTTATAGCATTAGGTGATGATCAAGGTAACAATGTCTCAACTTCTCTCATTTTTTAGCATCTCTGTTTCAATGTTCTTTTCTGCATGTAAAAATTACTTTAGCATGTAAAAAGTAATTTTTAAAATGGAAAACTTTTGGAACATGAATATCTCTAACTTGTCCTCTACTATGATGTAACCTGTTAATTTTGGGCTTGGCCTCCTGAACTTTCAGGCATGTATGGCTTGTTAGTGGCTGTACAGTATTAATTGGTCTCTTAGTGCTCAATATCAATGATATCCCAAATTACCTGTGGGAATACTTGCCATCAACCTATTTGCCACTAAGAAACTTGGCCTTTCTTCATTAGAGGAAACCATGTGTGAACAACTTTTTGAAGTGGTGTTGAAAACTGACCTAAGCTAATTTATTCATTTATCACACTCTTTTGATAAACTTGAGTAGTCTATGGTGATTAAGGAGTTAGGAGCTATATACCACCTGCTATAGGTATTATGTACCGGAGAATATTTAAAAACTAAAAACAATCTATAGTGAAGCTGAATTGATTAGCATGTTAAGCAAGTGAGAGCCACACTTTCTGGAGTGAGTTCATCAATGTATCCCCGAATGTCTAAGTTGTGGGCAATAAAAAGGAAATCCTTCCTGTAGGACTTTGAAAGGCACTTTTTGATTACTTACAGAAGAGGGAATTGAAAAGTCTCTTTTAGATTTGATCATGATTAAACCATGATGCTTTTTATATGGACATTTAACCTTAGCTCAGTTCTCAAAAGGCCCAAAATTAGTTGTTTTTGTTAAAGTAAGCTTAGGGGTGATGCAGCAGTCCAGCCCTTGTGGACACGGGCAAAAGTTGAGACAGAGTTTTCCTTTATCATATATTACAATTAAATCAAGGCTCAGATTGAATTCTGCTACATGTACAAACATTTATTATCAAACAAGCACTTTCAAAAATCACCTATTTCTGTGAGCTGTGAAAGTCCACACTCTTTATACCTTTACACTCATAAGCACCATGCATGAAAGTTTCATTCCAAGAATATTCTGATCAGCCAGCATTCTAGATGGAAAATGTACATGGTCTTCTGTTAAATGGGGATGGAAGAGGAAAGGGCTGATTGAGGAAGGAGAGGGGATGTTGAAAGTGGGGACCAACATAGGACCAAACGAGTTCTAAGCCTGAGTACTACTCTGAGGGTGTGAATCTTGCCAGATTCTTCTACATAGTTCATATAAGACCGGGGCTACCTATATCATCTTTCTTGCTAACCTTATATTAGAACACTCACTGGTTTTGTGAATGAAAAATTATTCAAATACGGTCCTAATGAACGAATCTCTTGGAATAGATCTAGACAAGTATAATTAATAGTAAATTTTACAGTTATGTGAACTCAAATGTCAATGTCAATGTCAAATGTCAATCAGTTCTTCCTAAAGAGTAATACACATAAATATGTTTATACTGAAGTATATTTATATAGAAGAATTATATAGATGAATTTTATAGTAAATTACAATCAGTGTAATGTCTCTTTTTTCATTTTTTCTTTGTGGGACAAAGCATAATTTTGAAAATTCCATGGGTTTGGCTGCCATTGAAAGCACCTCTGAGGAACTCACAAAGAGTCACCGCAGAAACACTTCAGGCACACCTTCCATAGCAGTGTCTGGTACCTCTCTCTCTTCAGGTAGGGATTTACAATATGCCTATTCTGTGGTATGAAATGACTTAACCAGATGGAATTGACTGCCCTGTTAAATGCATGTTCACGCCTTTAAAAAATAAACATCCATTCATTGGCCTATGGAGGTGGGCCCACTTCAAAGAATTACTTGGAGGTAGACCCACGTGATGCTTTGTGCTGTTGCATTTGTGAAAAATCAGTTTTTTTAAAATATACTTTTGCCACGCATCATCGCCAAGTTTCAGGGCTATAGCAGACTATCAATATAGGAGTGTGGGTAATAATTATTCTGGGACATGTTTGATGTGGCAAATAAGAACACTTGCTCAGAGTTCAAGGAAATGGTAGTTCAACTGGCTTAGTGGTCAGAAGTTTCTTATATACAGACATATAAACCATTATATGGTTTAAATAAGGAGTTGTTTGTAAGCAGCATTAAGGTATTAATAATTACGTCTTTCATTTGTATGATACAATCAAATATGTCATTTTACTTCATTGTCACAACAATCCTCTGAAGCAAGTATTGTTTATATTGAAATTTTATTACCCATGAGTAAGGAAATTCTTTAGAGAAATTTGTCATAATTGTAAAGTTTATGTCTCACATACAGGATTAAAATCATGATGAAATTCTCAACATTAAAAAGTTGCCTGTTACTTAATGGTGATTTTGCCTAAAGCCTAAGGCAGAATTACATGTCTCTTCTGGCCTACCAGTTCCCAAAGGGTTTTCTGAATGTGTATGGTCATTGCTACGTTATGCTTAGAGTAAAAGTTGTTCCTGGTAAATGAAATTTTTAAAACTAACTTAGAATTCAACATTGTAGAATCTATTTCTACTCAACAGCTCCAGTTTATGGAGTGCATACTCTGTATCAGACATTATATTAAACACTTCTGCATTATTTCCTTCACCATTTTAAACTTAATTACTTGATTACTCTTTTTTTAATTATTCTCATTTATAAGCAACTATATCCATTTCAATAGGGTTTTGACATAGAACTATTCTGTAGAAATAAACTATCCTAACGTGGTAAGCTGTCCACAGCATTACTGAGAAGTGTATTGCTCTGTAACTTATATTTTTAAAACTGAAAACAAAATGTTCTTTAATGAAAGAACGTTCTGATGCCTTAAGAAATAGAACTTCCTGTCAATGTATATATAACCATCCCCTTTTTGTGCATAAGAAATTTGCTATATTACTTTAAAGTAGCAGTTTAGAATTGGTTGACTTACATTTTATGTCAAATATAAAAAAGAGTGAATTGTCTATATATTGAAATCAAAAATGGTTAATGTAATTTTTTTCAAGCTTGTGGGCCTATTCTAAGAGAACTTTTTAAAAGTCGAGATGCAGAGCAGAAACTTTAAACAACTTAAACTTAGCATTTTATAGAGAGTATTTGACCTGTGATAGAAGGAGAAATGAATACTTAAATTTTAGTAATTTGTCCAAGACAATTTCCAAAATACTATTAAAAATGAAAGTATGTTAGCAATAACAGCATGAAGTCACTGACTCTAATTTTTGCCTCCATTAAGTACCTATGCCCTGTGCCTAAAAAGAATTGGAATGAAGCTGAAGCATTTCTAATTCACATCTTTCTTTTTTTTTCCTCCCACTGCAGACCGGAGTCAATCTGAGTTAGATTTGAGTGAGTCATGTGCGGAAGACTTAGAGGATACTGTAAGCATAAGAAGCAAGTCTGTCCCTGGGGCTTTAGACAAAGATTTGGTAAGTTGGATGTGGAAAAGAAGGCCATAATCTTTCTCCAAGCAGTTCCATGTTTAGGTGATGATGAATTGAGAGTAAAGAGAGGATATACAATCATCTCTTCCTGTTAGTCTTCACAGTCAACATATACAAGCAACCAAATGATTTAGAAAAGTAACAGGTAATCAGGTTAATGAATGAAGATTATCTCTAAGAAAACACCTGATGGGAATTCAAATTGTTGTCTAAAAGCTTATCACTTAGTCTAAACCTGAGATATGGGGGATCTCAACATTTCCCAAGTCAAATATTATTATACTTATCTGACTATATATTTTATATGAACATTTCTATATCTCAAGTTACTGCCTTCTTAACTGAGACTAAATTATGTGAAAATTTAATGTTTCAGCAAATTCATTTATAAAATAAGAAGGTTAAATTAGATTATTGTTATGATTCTTTCCCATTCTAATATTCTGATCTTCTGATTTCTATAATTGCTATAATAAAATTTGAAATCCTTGGAAGAAAACTAATGTAAAATGATATTTATGGTTTTTCAAAAACAAACTAGGGAACTTAGACTTCTAAAATGAAATATTATTTTATATAATATAAAAAACTGGGATAATACTTTAAAATCAACCCCCAAAAAGGGAGGAAGACAATGTGATCAAATGATTTCAAAACTTATTTGTGCTCAAAATTTAAAGAACTGCTGATTTTAATGTTATTAAACTATTCCTGATCTTAGAAAACCATGAAATACTATAAATTCATAGTATGCAGCCCTTATAAGCTCAATACTCAGATATGATTTTTAAAATAGTTTAAAAATAAAACTACAAGTCAAACTAGTTTACAAAATACATATGGAAATATATAATTAAAATGTAATGTCGGGTAAAATCTAGCCGTGAATAAAAATTGCATAAGTAAGTTTTATTCTAGGCATGGATGGAAAAATATCTATATAATAATATCTATCAATATAATGTGGTGGGGTTTTTTTGGTTTTTTTTTTTTTTTTTTTTTTTTTTGAGTTGGAGTCTCACTCTGTCGCCCAAACTGGAGTGCAGTGGCCGCTCCCGGCCACCGCAACCTCGACCTGCTGGGCTCCTGCGATCCTTCCGCCTCAGCCTTCCGAGTAGCCGGAATTACAGGCACGTGCTACCACGCCCGGCTGCTTTTTTGATTTATTGTAGATATGAGGTCTCGCTGCCCAGGCGGGTCTCGAACCCGCGGGCTCAGGCAATCCACTCACCTCAGCCTCCCAAAGGCCCGGGATTACAGGCTGAGCCACCGAGCCCGGCAATATAATGTATTTTATTAATAGATTAAAGAATAGGAAAACTTTCAATAGATGCTGAAAACTTTTTAAAAATTTTACAGCTATACCTAAAACTAACAGAAACCAATTAAACGTTATTTTTAAAAACTAAATATAAAAAAACCCAGTATATGTCATTTAAAATTTTTTTTTTAATTTGGGGAACAGAAAGGGCTGGAGGGCCCAACAGCCTGGTGTATGTGTGTGTGTGTGTGGGGGGCGTGTTCAAGGAGTTATGGAATGGCCGGGGAAGGGACTCGATCCCAGCTGGAGACCGATAAGAACAGAGATCCAGGACCCACGTTGCACCCACCCCGCCAGAGCAGGTCAGAGCCTGAACACGTTGTGACCCCTCCCGTTTTATACTTGTGACCCCTTCACACACCAAATGCTCCAATGACCCCTATATTCCATCCCTGTGTTGCCCCCTCCCCCAGCCTTCCTGCAGAACTCTGATCTGGTTATCTTGACGCCCACCCGCCTTTCTTCCCTGCTCCATTTCCCAGCGCCGGCCTGACTCTATAACCCCCAACTTCACCCCATCTCTCCCCAGCTGCCCCCATAACCTGACCCCACTGATTCCTTCTCTAGGCCATGCTCCTGAGGCCTGCTTTTGGACATGAGCCCTGTAACGCCCCTAGGGTGTCATGCTAAGCAGTTTCCAAAGCCAAGACCCAGAAGAGGGTGGTGGCCCGGGTAGCCAAGTCAAGGGGTGGGTCAGGAGGAAGAGGAGGAGAAAGAAGACAAGATGAGACACCGTTGGTGGGCGGTAGAGGGCAGATGTGTCTTTTCAAATGTTAACATGATAAAACCATTTTCATTAAAATCAAGAACAAAATAGGGATTCCTGTTATTACTATTATTAGTCAACACTGATTTAAAGGTTCTGGAAAATCCAATATGACAAGAAAATGAAAATGATCTTTAAAATATTAAATAAGATATAAAAGCATACAGTTTTGATGATAATATGCTTGTATACCTAGAAAATTCTTGGTTATTTATTACTAAAAGCTATTAGAATTAATAATAGAATTTGGAATGACCAGCAATTCAACTAATCTGAGTTTATATTCTTGGTTGGTACATGCAATAGACCTGTGAACTAGCCAGAAATTTAACAGGAAATCCAAGGAATAAAGTCATACAGGGTTGGAGGGAGGGCAAAAACTGGTGAGCCCAAACTATCTAGTCATGCCTGGCTGCCCATAAGCCTGAACACATTCACAAATAAGACATGGACCCTGAATTGTACCTCACATCATTAAACATAAAAACAAAAAAGACATGGAAAGGCTTAGTTGGAAGGAACAGCTGGTGAGACTTGAAAACTGCCTGCTTTTGAATATGCTCGAACAACAGACAGATCCATTGAAAGTGGATTGAAGTCTCCTGGCATGAGTTGAGCATAATCTTGTCACAATCATTAACTGACCACTAAGCTAAACATACAGGGGGTAATCCATGAGACATCTGGGTTAAAAATAAAAGTTTAAAAAGCTGTGTGGAGACATCAGCAGCCACTCATAGGATAGGGAATAGATTTCACAGATTATTAGTCCAGGCAAGCTACTAGACACACAAGCCAAAAACAAACAAAAATTGACAACATCAACCCTCAGGAGTAAAAATAATCAGAATACAAAGTTGCTATGAACCAACCAAATGTTGGTTCTTTGAGAAATCAACAAAATTGACAAACCTTTAGCTAGCCATGATTTCTCAACCTTACCACTATTGTCATTTTGGACTGTATAATCCTTTGTTGTAGGGGACTATCTGCACATGGTAGGATGTTATGGAAATATTCCTTGTCTTTGCTCACAAGGTGCCAGTAGCACTCCCCCAGTTGTGAGAACCAAAAATGTCTCTAGACATTACCAAATATCCCCTGGGAGACAAAATCACTCCCAGATGAAAACCACTGAGCTACATTAGCCAAGAGTAAAAAGAGAAAAAATTACCACAATCAGGAATGAAAGAGGAAATACCACTACCCATATAACAGAAATCTAAATGATTATAACATAATACTATGAACAACTGAATACCAACAGAATTGGAAACTCAGATAAAAAGGACACATTTCTAGGAAAACAAAAATTACCAAAAGTGATTCAAAACTACTAAGGTAGCTCTATAAGTAAAGATATGGGATTAATAATATGAAAACTTTCCCCAAAGAAGGGTCCAGGTACAAATGACTTCATTAATGAATTCTATCAAATATCTGAAGAAAAATAAAATAATTGAAGGGGAAATACATCCCATCTCATTTTGTGTGGTCAGTATTATACTGATACCAAAGCTAGACAAGGACATTGCACAAAAATGATAGACTAATACCCATCATGAATATAGATGGAAAAATCATAAATAAAATATTAGTAAACCAAGTCTAGTAACAATGAAAGATTGCACACGCTATAACCAAGCGGGATTTGTCCCAGGGATGCAGGGTTGATTTGACATTCAAAAATAAATTAATGTAATACAACATATCAAGAGAATAAAAGAGTACATCAATTCAGTAGATGCAGAAAAATTATTTCACAAAATTCAATATCCATTTATAATAAAACTCTCAACAAACTAGGAATAGAGAGAACTTCCTCTGTCTAATAAAAGGCATCAGCAAAATTCCTACCTAATGACATCATACTTAATGGCAAAAGTACCAAATGTTTTTTTTTCCTGAAGTACATGAGCAAAGCAAGAATTTCCACTTTCACCACTTCTATCTGACATTGTGTGGGAGATTCTAACCAGTGCAGTAAAAAAGAAAGAATGAAAAGAAAAGAAAGAAAAAGGAAAAGGAAAAAGGAAAGGAAGACATCTTATTGGAAAGAAATAAACAAAATCTTATTTATTTGCAGATTAAATGATTCTGTATGTAGAAATTTCTAAATAATCTACAAAACTCTGATTAGAAGTAATAAACAAGTGCAGCAAGTTTGTGGGAGATAACACCAATATATAAAAATCAACTATATTTCTATATTCTAGCAATAAACAATTGGAAATGAAGTTAAGAATATAATTTCATTCTCAATAGCATAAAAATAATTTTTAACAAAGAAATACATTTATTTTTTAAAGTGTAAGATATATACATTAAAATTTACAAAAATATTGCTGAATTAAAGGAGACCTAAATAAATGAAGACACAGTATAGATTCATTAATTAGAAGATTCAATTTTTTTTTTTAGATTGGAAAATATAGTTTATTTAGAAAGTAAATTGGAGAGAGAGGAGATTCGCCTCCTCAAGGTAAGGGAGGGTGCCAAAGCTCTCAATATTTTTAATGCAGAAACTTTATCTCCAAATAAATCTATAGACATCCCCAGTCAAAATCCAAGCAGGATATTTTGGTGAAATGGACATTGTGATTCCAAGATGTATATAAAAATGCATGGGACCTGAGACAACAAAATCAATTTCGAATAGCAGAGTTGGAGGACTTATACTACTAGATTTCAAAACTTACTATACAGTTACAGAAAACAGTATAGCACAGTACTGATATAAGCATAGACAATCAATGGAATAGAACAGAGTCCAAAAATAAATCCTCATACTATGGCCAATTGATTTTTAGCATTTTAATGAGAAAAGGATAATCTTTTCAACTAATTATACTGAGTCAATTGGGATATATGCATGCCATACACACAAAACACGAATGT